AATGTTTCAGAATGTATCATAAATTAGACCGATAGGAAATTAATACTCCATTTAGAATAAAGGTTTGCTAGATAATAATAATGATTTTGTCTCTTGTCCAGAGGTTTATTTATGCTATTGAAACCACTGAGCTCTCTCTTACTGAAGGTCTTTGCTGATTCCTGTCCCTGTGCCCAAAGGAAATGTGACGGTTTCCATTTGCAGATGCCATTTTGGTTTATGACTTTCATATATGTCCCCTCTCTCCCCATGCTCAGCCTCTGTGATCTTGTGAAGGTCAGTTATTCCTGATATCACTGGCAGAGGCTGTGATAGGACATCTTGGGGACACCTAGGGGGTAAGTGGGCTATAAATGACATTTTAGCTGACCCACAGTCACAAATCTTCTTCACACAACTAATCATGTTATTTCCTACATCAAAAATCCAGAGACCAGATTTCAGCTCTTTTCTAATCATGTGGAGTATTGAAGAGAAACCTCGATTTTTTTTTTTTTTTTTTTTTTTTTTTTTTTTTTTTTTTTTTTTTTTTTTTTTTTTTGTGAACTCTCCCATTTATTTATAGCTGCCTATATAGAAGAAAACAATGGCACTATTGTTGATGTTTTTATTATAAATAAGTAAAAATGCAAGCCAAATTTAGACACAAATTTAGCTATTCTGCTTTCATCCCTGCATAAAATTTCTGTCTACCCAAAGGAAAAAAAAAACCCAACCTTTAATGAGGACTGAAAGGTTGTCAGAAATCTTCCCAGTACAAAAATTTTTCACAGGGACTGCTCCATAAATTTCTCTAAAAGATCAGCTCCAAAAAAGCATGAAATGGAATAAAAGGACTCTTAGTTGAAGATTGTTAACATACTTAGACCAACAATATCTGCTTGTGCTTGTTGTCATCGTTCAGTATCATAAAAATAAAATACATGCAATATTTGCATTTGTTATATCGTGATATTTTTATCTTTGGATCTTGGTAATATGAGAAGTGCTATCTTAATTTATAATCACCAGGAACTCCCTTTACAAAAATATAACCACACTCTGTGCAGTTGTTATATATAGTTTAATGTCTCTATATATGATATATCATTTACTTACATTACTGAGACATTGTTGCATTGAAAGATTCAGGATATTTCAGCCTTATTAACATTAATCAGATGCTGTAACACTACCTGCCTCTGGCACACGGTGAGTCAGATCCTGCCTGTACCCATCTCTTCAAAAAGCTCTTACCGAAGTCAGTGGGACATTTGCCTGATTCACAGAACAAAGTCAGGCTTTCACTTATCTAGGAATTACACAGACTTGGACTCATTTCCTCCAGGATCCCAACTGCCTGATTAAAAGTATCAGCTGGGAATCTGGAAGCCTGTGCTCTGTTCCCTTATCTGTTGCATCCCCTGTGATCAAGGGCTAGACATACCTATTAGCAGCAGCCTCCATGCAGTACCCAGAGCAAGGGGGGGTGCGTGGGGTCCTTCAGTAGGCTTCAGAGTAGGTGTTTCAGTTTCCCTGGGGCAAAGCTGATGAGAATGCTTTTGCAGTGAGGTTTCTGCACTTACTCAACAGTTTGCAAGATGTTTTAACATTACTGTTGTTAGCTGGAAAGCAAAAGGTGATGATTCTCCCATTATGTTCATAGTAAATTAGGAGTTAGCCACCTAGAAGGAAATAAAAAGACTTACAGAGGAGAATGTCTGTTAAAAAAACAGACTTATGCAGAGAATGACTTGGACATGTATCAGACTAAAAGCTCAGTAATATTTCATTGGAACTCTATCTTCAGAAATAAAAAAGGTTGTTGAACGAACCGCTCTGAAAAGCCTCCTGCTGACACTGGAGAAATGTTAACAGGAATCAGTCTTAGCAGGAGAAGGTAGAAGACTTTTTCTTCTGCCTAACCTCTGCATTACAGACACTTGCACCAATAAAAGAAATTTTATGTCTTTGGCTGACTTGAGTGGAATGTGAAATCTTCCGTTTTTCAGAACATTTTTCTCCTTTGGATTACTTGAAATGATCAAAGGAGGAAGGCTGTGAATCCGTGAAGGGAACTGGTGGTTTAACAGTGAACTTCTTTATTCTGAATCCTAACAGTTGAAAACAGCTTCAGCTGACCCAGAATATTCTGGTTAGCTTTGGTTTTCCACCACCCATGTAGGACAGCAGGAATACTTGGAAGAGCCCCGGAGCAGCTGTCCTGCCAAAGAGGGAGAAGTGCTGTAAGATGATCAGGTACTAGACCAGGGCTTGTCCCGATGTGCTGTTAGTGAAATAATATCAAAGCACTCCATGCTTTTTTTTAAAGGGTGGGTCACTGCTGCTACTTTTGCTTCATTCCTACAGGCAAGTGAACTTAATGGCAGAAGATTGTATATGCAGACATGTTGCATTTTTTTAACTGTATTTGTGTATGTAAAGCACTGTAGTCCTCTCCATGCTGTCTCCATGCTTCTCTAACACAGCAGTGATTATACTGAAGTAGTTTATTCTCATAAGAGAAGGGCAACAAGTATAACAGCACAAGGGCTTTTAATAACATCCAATCCATAAAACAATGCAGTAACTTTGGAGTAAAAGGTTGACTCTGCAAATGGATAGCCACAGGCAGTGACACACAGGGAAGCACTACTGAACATCTTTGGGCTTTTACAGTAGCAGGAGGAAAACAAACTTTGTTTGGAAAATCTGCATCTGATTGTTTTTCAAGCTGAGAAGTATGCTAAGTGATTTTTAGTTTAGATGACGGTAAACAGCAGAGAAAGAAGAATTATCTTGTAAGAGTAGAATACATCTTCTTTCCTGTCTCAAATACCCTCTGCCCTGCCATGGGACTGGCCTTGCCTACAACCCACTTCAGACGTTTTAAGGGGAGAAATAACAGTACAGATACTTGGCATTTCACAAATCTGCATTTAGGAGCTAAGTTTGAAGGTGGGCTGAAAATGACCTAGAGATGGGAGCTAAAAACCTCTTCTGTCACAAGAGAATTCCCCCATGCAGGGCTGCCAGAAGATGCTAAGGAATGATTCTGAGGAAGCCAGGTTTGGATGGGTTGTTCATTTAATTTTCAGTTCTGTTTTAGACAAGACACAATAACCTTCAAGAAAGCTCAGCTGAGGGCTGGATTCAATGCCATAGACCTGCACAGATCATGTATGACTGATTCAGGACTTCATCTCTAGCTGAAAGGGAAGCAGGGATGAGGCCTATGTTTTGCTTCACATTGATATATCCAGGATGTGTTAACCTTCAGTCTTTTCTTCTGGCCTTCGTGGCATTAAACGGGGCAGATTTCCACTGAGGGAATAATACTGTGTTTTCCTACCTGAACAGCAAAGGTCCCATTAGCAGATAGATGCTGCACAGCAAATGCCAAATCCCTCAAGTCACCGAAGCTCACTCTGAGCTACCAGCACCCGGGTTCACCTGGGTTCACACCAAGCACAGGGTACAGCCCAGCAGCTCTGAGGTACCGCCCTTCGAATAGTGCTGGACACTCCTGTAAAGGAGGAATTAAATTTCTATTATCCATGGCAAGCAACCATTCTAGATTCTGGTGCATACTCCATGGTGTATAAGAGGAAAAATGGGAGAAGAGGAAAGTTAGATCTAGAGAATAATCCCACTAACAGCTGTTTTATACCCAGAAACATACTTGTGTAGGAATTAGTACATTTGCCCACATGCATTCCTACAGGCCAGATCAGCTTTCAGTGAGAAGATAATTTGGAAATGAACAGGCATTTTTTACTATTTATAAGACTTTCCTCTTAATGATTCATCTGCATTGCAGATGCAGTGGGAGCAGGGGGCTGTTTACAACACAGTTGCAATGTGCAGGGTAGACAGGATTTACTCAGGCTTTTGTAATCTTTAACTATAGAATGCAATAGTTCTTGAGAGGTTTTGATCATGGACTTGGAAAATGGAGTTACGAGCCCACAGAAGAAGAAAGCATAAAAAGGTTGATATAAGACTGAAAAATTAAAATGCACAGAACCCAAAGGATATCTACTCTGCACTGACTTAGGACTAGCTTTTGGGCAAACAAAAACTTCATTCATACCTGTCTTTATCAATAATGTGGTCTCGATGGATATAGGGGTCCTAAACCTCAGGTTTGACAGGATGCTCAGGATCCAACAGATCCTGTGTGATAACCCGTGAAATACAGGAAGTCCTATATGAGATGGTCAACCTAGATTCCTCTGAATCATTCCTTAGCATCCTCTGGCAGCCCAGCATGGATGGACTTCTCCATCCATGGCTTTAAGCTCTTCCCATATTTCTGTGATAGCTGAATTTATTATTGTCCTGGTTCAGCTAGGATAGGGTTAAGTTTCCCCAGCAGAGAGGGGGAAGGGATCTCCAGCCGGGTTATTCATACCATGCTGAGGTCAGGTCCAGCGCAGCAGCATGGGAAGTTTATTCCTTTGTGGCTTTTGGTGGCAGGGAGCACGTGGTGGGACCACTGCGGTATTTCTCTGTATATCTTTTGTCTTGTTTACCGTTATTACTGTTTATTGTTGTTATCATTGCTACTGTTGTTGTTTAGATTGTTTGTTACACTGTTGTATTAAATTTCTTCTTATTTTAACCCGGGGTTTGTGCCCTACTTGTGTCCGAGGGTGGGGGAGGGATAACGTCAACGTGGTCTCCGGTCCGAGCAGGGCTTAAACCAACACAATTATAAATACAAATAAACAGACACAGCCCAAATTGTCTGAAAAGTGACTTCAGCTTGTCATTCTAGGAACATGAATCTTTGCACAGTCAGTCTGTGAGTTACATGAATTACGATTTACCTGTCCCCACTCAGTTCAATGTCCATGGCTTAAAATGAAGCACTAGAGATACATTGTTCAGGTGAGTTTATTCAAATACAACAAGAGCAACATAACAGGTTTCCCAGAAGAAAATGACCCTCTAGTCCACAAAACAGGGGAGGAAAAAAAAAATTTAGTAATATAAATTACAAATTTTGGCCAAAAAATTTTGAATTTCATTACTCTCCAAGTTCAGGACAAATACTCTATTAAAATGCTTTGATATTCTTCAGAGAATTTGGTATTCTCTGGAGAACACAGTACTGACTAGGGTCAGGGATCAAGTCATAGCCCACTAACATAAGTCACAGCCAGATCCCATCCATTTTCCTCTCTCTGGGGGCTACCATGCATCACCACGCCTTCTGGACAACCACATTTTTATTAATGGAATGAGCTGCAGACCAAAATATTACTGAAAGAGATCTAAATTTTCAGTGCATTATATAGCAGTTGTACCACAGACTACAGTTAAAAATTAACCAAACTTAAAACTGTCTCATCGAAGGAAAAACATAAAGCAGTGCAGAATCATTCTTGGCTTTACTCTCCAGGTCTTACAATATTTTCCTGCAGCAAGAACTACATTACAGTCATACACCAGAATTTTATAGCTAAAACTCTTAAAGTAATACCTACAAAATTACAGCAAATACTATCAAAATGCCTATTTTGACCTTAAAAGTATGTACTTAAACACATCTCTCCTCAGGAAAGTGCATTATCACATGCTTAGAGCTGAATTCCTGTGTAAGTGCTTTCCTGAGCCAGAGCCCAAACAATGCCCAGATGAAGCAGGTGAAACTCCAGAGGCTTCTGACCTCCCTAGATCTGTATGTGATCTCTCAAAATGCAAACAGATCATCAGGCTCTTCAAAATGGCCTGCACAGCTCGCTCAAAATACATGGGCTTCCACTGAACACAACGCTGACGAAAACATTTACTTCCCATTCTATAATATTTCTCTGTATTATAACTTGTTTTAAAAATTACAAATCTTGCAGCTTTATTTCTTCCTCATCACTGTCAGTTACATTGATTATGTGGGTGCTGGAGGGAGATGAGGCAGCTGACAAAACCTCCTCCAATGCTCCAGCATCCGGCTGTGATAGGGGGCTTAAATACTGCTCCTCGTTGCATTTGTCGTGGCAAGACACTACGTCAAGGCACTCAAAGCTGTGGTGGTTCTCACGTATACTTTCTGTTTGATATTCTTTGAAAGGATAGTCTCTGTTCAGAGTTGAAAACATCGCCTCCTGTCTTTGGTACCTGTCTTCATAAAAGCCAGGCGCTGAGCGGGAGAAATTCCTACCGAGGTGGAGAAGTGGAGGTCGGCTGAACGGGCATGTGCTGCAATGAAAGAGATTGAAAGTTGGCTTTCAGAAATGGAGATTGCTTGGACTTCCATTCAGCTGAGAAAACCAGAACGACACTAATGTTCTATGTCAGTTTATCCTGTTGAAATATTTAAAACACATGCGCTTCAAAACCATGCCTAATTTAAACACTGAGGCCATAACAAGAGTCATGCACAGATCCCATATCTGTGCATATGCACCTCTTCATGCTAAACACATGCATGACACTGCTTTGAAAACTAACACAAAACCCATAGTATTTATCAATAAAATAATATCATGGATATACCAGTATCTGATAAGCCTGCAGTATGTTAACAGACACAGAATAGTAATAGAAAACATTAGAAGTCTGTTATTTCTGTGTGCCAAAATTTCTGACAGACCTGGGGTAAAATGCTCTTATTTATTCTTTTGAGTGAACTCTTGCATGTTACATTGTTATTAAACAGGAGGACTGACAGAGAGTCCTTGTGCCCAATATCTCATTGTCAGTGTTACTATTCAAAAAATGTACAGTGATAAATTTTTAAACAGCACCCACATAGATTGCAGGAAGTTACTATGTCAAATGTAGTGCATTCCTCCAGTGTCAGAAATTTTCATTTTTATCCTGATGCGGAATGACACATGTATTGTAATTTACAGTGTCACAGAAATTCACCACATTGTTAAGAAAACAAGTGTATGTGAAGAATAGATCTCCACAGTTTAGACATTATCAAGACATTGATACAATGTCTACTGAGGTTTTAAGGAGACTCTCCACCTTTCCAATCAAATACTTACATTTTTAGTGCATAAATCTGCATACATACATTTGCACTAAGAAATCATGATTCTTGTATGCAAGAAATGAATTTATAGGAATGTGATCCTATAAATCATTGTATTAGAAAGATCCTGGTATTAGCAAAGCTGGCAGCCTTCAGGTGTCATTAATGTTTGAACTCAGAACAGTCTTTTATGGTGCAAGAACACTCCTCTCCCTGAGAGGCCTCACAAAACTATCTAATTTCAGAGACCAAGGGCTAAGCAAAGTTTATCTTTAGCAATTTTGGGAATATGTGTCCTGTGTTTCTTCAAAGAATCTCAAAAATAGAAATATCTTGCATTGCACTTATCAGCTCATACAGCTCTTTTGAGTTTCATGGGTCATGATCAGCCCTAATTTATGACCAGGCAGTATTATTACCATAGGAACATACGGTTGTTGCTATTAGTAGGAATGAGCAGTGTATAAACAGGCAGACTTTAAGGCTAATAGTCATAATAATTTGTTATGGTTGATACTGCACAGTCATGAAAGAAAAATGATGCCTTACAAAGAATAGTCATCAGTAGGCCATCAGACCTCCTGAGTCTGAGCAGCACACCTGCTGCTGGGAGGGCACTGGTGCTTTCTGTGCGCGCTTAGCTTAGGAAATACCCACGGGATATTACATGTGTTAGCTTGTAAATTCTTTGATTAGGTGATCTCTAATTGACTGCCCAGAGACTGCAAGGAAAAACTAGGAATTACTACCTACATAAGAACTCTGAAGACATTTCCCACGAGGCTAGATTTCAGAAATATAGGTAGTTACGACAGCTGCAAACAATACCCAGCAGACCTCTCACAGACCTACTTTAATTCTATCTGATCATTTTCAAAATACATTTACACTACCTCCACCTAATGTTTTTCTGTAGAAATCAATAGCACTTAGATGCATAAAGTGGAGAGAGAAGATACTTCTATTTACTGTGGGTTTGGGAGTGCCAATTACTGCAATAGTATGAACTCAGTAACTGGGCATATATTATGAGCAGCCTCAGGCCAGCAGGTCCCACCACAAAGGAGCTACAGTAAAGTAAGAGCACCTTTCCTTTTGAATGCTCCACCTGCTTTCTGTAAATCAAAAGACTCTCTGCCTTTTAGCATTTGTTCTTAGTGGTATTGAAATGAAGGGTTTCATTACCTTGAGGGGGTATAATGAGGTCCAGGTAAAAAGTAAGGGTGGTAGAATGAACACCGAGGAGGCAATCCAAACAGACTGGCTGGCTGACCAATGGGAGGAGACTTGTAGAAATGTGAGTGAAGAAAAGGGGTAGCCTGGGGAAGAGGTACACCTCTAGGAAAAGCAGAAACCCCTGGGTACTCCTTTGGGGGCTCACTATTAGGGACAGAAAATCTGCCATTAGTGGTGGTTATGTTACTTGGGTTTCTGCTGAAGCTCTCAATGAAAACTGGTGAAGGTCTCTTCAGAGAGCAATTGAGCTTAGATACATCAAGAGCTTCTGTCTGAGCAGGTTTAACAAAGTGCTGTGGTGAAAACACAGGGTGCAGGGGCAGAGTTGGAGCTGGGACAGCCACTGATGTGGTGCTTGCACTAGCTGTCTGGAGAAGAGTAACTGGAACAGCATGTTGAATGGAAGAAGCTGGCAGACGGATAGCAGGAGACTCACCTTTAGGAAACAGAACAGTTATTTATCAGACTATATGAATAGAGGAAGAAGTTTCATAAACAGCAGCATAGCAAACCACAGCCAGAACTGGAACCATTTCCCCCAAAGTTTCTAGCATCACTTCCCTGCAATTCATAGTCATGCACCACTTCTCCTACATGGATTCTGTCAGATGGGTTTGGAGCCCACACATTCAAGCTTCCTTCTACAAAATCCCAAGAGTGAAAGAAGAAGGAATTGGCTAGTGAGCACTGAGGCTGTGGGGCTGGTGAGGGCTGTCTTGTCCTAATATGGACACAGAATGGTTTAGCACCTGAATCTCAGAAGACTTCCCAAATCTACTAGCTGAGTTGGAGTGAGCCAAATTCTTAACAAATCTATGGTACCAAAGCAGCAGTGAGGAGCAGAATTAACGGTTAAAACAACCTACTCTCTGATAAGTTTTCTTATTTGTTTCACCAATGAAGGCACCCACTAGCCAATTTCTCCTTGAAATGTTTTGCAGAACATATACTTGAATGTACACCTTCAAATCACACATCATGTCAGCGGGGCTGCCTTTATACAGAAAGTTTCAAAACACATTGTATAAGCATTTTCAAACCCCACTACCTAGTCTAAGAGTCTAAATTTCAAGTCAATAGGACTTAAATGCATCTAGATTTTTACAATGTGTATTTAAGAATAATTTCAACCACAGTAGGATAGTAAATTCTGGAATGAAATTTAGTAGCATCTGAGGACAGCATGACATTATAAAATCTACTAGGGTAAGAAAGCAAAGAATACTTTATTCAGTCAAATTTACAGAAGCATTTGAGAAAGGATCACATCACTAACTCAAATCGTCACCAGAACAAAGCTGAGTGTTCTTTTTACATCTCCGAATATTACCACACATCATAAACAGGCATTTAATTTTCTTGTCTCATTGTAAGGAGAGCAGCCTTTGTCAGTATGCTTAAAGAGAAAAATGCCATTGCCTGGATCTAAACTATTTGTTGTTGAAATCAGCTATGCATGCACTAACAGAGCCAGAGCTCTTTCACTACAAACAATGCAGGTCAGCTATTATACTTGACTGTGAGCTCTCACACTACACTCACTCTATTTCACTGCCCGTACTGACTTCTTACAAAAAGGAGGATCCTTCCAGGTTAGGTGCAACTTTTTAATGCATTCCTTCTGTAACTATTATTTTTGTTTGTATGAAAGCTATGTATGCTCAAACTGTGGGCATGTGGAAGTTCCTAACAGCTACATATAGAACTATTCCAGGTGTGCACAGATACCTAAGTAACCATTCATGGAAAATGTGCCAATGAAAAATTTCTTTTTCAGTTTTAGTGACTGCTTTATTATTACAGCACATACCTTACTAACACCCTACTAACTTCCTTTTTGATGCCCATGCTGACAGTTCTGTTGGCTGTCTCTTGTAAGCAGTCTAAGTTGCTGAGCATTTGCTCTAGAGCAATGGTGCCCTCACTACCAAGGAACACTAACATCAAGACTAAGCTAACCAGCTTTTTCAGGCTTAGTAGCATGGGGTTGAGCACTAATGCAGTTAGAGCTGGTGAGGTAAAATACATGTGGGTTGGAGACAAGAAAAAGATGTAGCTTAACAGAAAGCAAGTAATAGAGAGTAATAGAGATTCAAGAAGACCAAGAGGTAGCAGAAGGTAACAAGGAGCTACAAAGGCAGTAGCAGGAATCTGTGGGCAATGAAGAAGCCAGAAGAATTTAAGAGGCTGAGGAAACAGTAGGTAAAGACTAGGAGGCAGAGGTGCAGTGCAGAGGAGGACTGATAGAAATAATGGTGTCAAGAAAGACTGAGAAATTGTTTTAACTATATCTACATTACCATCTATATATCTTTTATATATAGTAAATTCATAGGTAAATTCTGACTTTTTAAAATCATTTACTACTGAAAACTCACAGACTGGATGTCCAATACTGTTCTTAACACTGGGGATGACAACAGAGTAAGCAGGTGATGGGAAAGGATAAACACCAGCTGGATTTGTACCGGTGATACTCTGAGAAGTGCTGGAAAAGACAGGCAGTGGAAAATGCTTCCTTTTGCTTGGTCGTGGTTGATAAACCCAATCTGTCAGAGATGAGAAAAGATGCAGACACCCAGTTTTTGGGATGGTCTCATTCTTTATGTAAAGCTATGACATCTGTAATTCTGAAGTATGTAAAAAACATTACTCCAAAATCACCTCCCATAGTCAATAGCAATACTCCATTTGTTTCAGTGAGCTAGCAAATAGGGCATTTTATTGGAAGTGGTAATAAAATGGACATATTTGAGCACTGGTTTTATGTAACGGAATAGTAACTGTGAGACAAAGAAATACAGAACAGTGGGGACTGATGTGGCACAGCTGAGGAAAGCATGTTAAGCAGAACATGACACTGTACCACGGGCTTTCAGTGCAGAAGAAAACCATGACTATATTCAAAATGCGGATCTTTCCTGAATGACTCCTCAACCCCTTAAATCTCACATATACTTGCAGGTTATGGAAATGGAATGGAAATATGGAAATGGAATGGAAATGGAAAATATGACCCACTAGGAATCCTGTACAGATTTTGGGAGTATGTTTGCCTTTAACTTTCAACATTAACCAAACTCTAACAGATGTATAAACATATTATGAATTTACACTGAGCAGCTAGGTTTCTTACACAAGCTAACTCAATACAACTTTCAAGAAGCACTTTTTATATATATATATATATAATTGAAAAGTGTAAAGGGAGAGGGAGAGATAAGAGCTGCTCTTATCTTTTGCTTGTTTATGACAGATTAGTCAGATCTTGTCTCCCAGGATTAGCCATCATCATGAACTAGCAGGATTATGACAACAGAGAGAGAAAGGATCACAACACCTGGTATCTCAACAGCTTTTAAAAAGAATGTTCAAAGTACTTACGCTCTGTTTTATTGAACTACAGTGTTATGGAGAAATACATTTGTTAAGGCTACAAATTTTTAAGCCTTTTAACAAAAGGCTGAGAACAACATCTTCCACACCGTTATTTGGGAATCCCAAGTCTACATGTTGAAGAATCCCACAGAATACAACGCCATTTGTGCTTCCTGTGGCATTTCCCTTTCCTGCTTTTAAAGAATGGATGCATGTGTCACCACAGGCCACCTGGGCACAGCTCTTTCTGGAGCACATAAAATGATGCAGCAGGCCATGTTCACAATAAACTCACTGTCTGGCCATTAGACTACTAAAGCATTCAGAAGAGCTGCTGTAGCTGTGGTGGTCTAAGGCTGTAAGAAACATTAGAGGCTATGAAGGATGAAACATCATTTTGCATGTTTTAAAAAATTAATGTTTTCAGGTACTAGAAAGTTGACAGAAGGAGTGTGTGCTTTAAATTTTTGTCATTTTTTTCTAACTCTATTACTTGCATTAATGAAAGCAATCAATTCTTCCAAAAATCTTCCACTTCTAAAGCATTTGGGTAAATAGATACATGTTTACCAGGAAATTCCTCTGTGTGCTTTTGTTTTATTTTCTGTGCTTCATCATAATAGGGCTGCTTTTGCTCTTCAGTCAGTTTGCTCCACTCCAGTCCAAGCTGAATACTGATTTCTGTATTACTGGCAGCTGGGTTAGCTTTTGCTAGGGCAGGCCGATGAATCCTAGCCCACACCATAAATGCGTTCATTGGACGCTTTACGTGGCCACTTCTGTCCTTGCTAAATGGAGCATCTGCCATACCTATGCAGGAAAATGAGGAAAGATGATCATCTTCCAAGCAGTATGTGCAATACAGGCTACATTCAATAATACAGCAAGAGGGTATTTGGCAAAAGTCAAAAAATTCACTAGAGCTTTGGAACACATGAAGCTCAATACACATTTGGAGAACAGTTCCTAGAAAAATAACTAAGGCTAAGGGAGTATCCTCCACTAACCTTCACTGAACCACTGCATAAGGAATCATTTACCTGGCTTTTGTTGCATTTTATTTAAAAAAAACCCAAACAAACCAACCAACCAGACATGTGAGACTGCTAACACATTGGTTTGGATTTCATTTGGCCAGATTGTTTTCTTATGAATTTAGAAACTAAACACTGTATAGCATAGACTATATCTCTGCCAATTTTTTATCACCACCAGAACTATGTAACTAAAGCCCTAATGATGCAGGGACCAGATCTAATGATGGCAGTTTAGTCCCACACCTGCAGTCCCTGACTTCTCAGCTGAGGTTGTTGCCGTTTAGGGTTTCTGTTTGGTTTTTTTTTTTTCCGTTTCTCACTTTTTTCTCAGATTTGGACACTAATTTTGCTGGAGGAACCCATGTTACCATATGACTGTTAAGCTTTGCCTCTCTGTAAACTGACTGCATTTAAATTGAGCTGGTGACAGGATGAACCCTCAGAGCCCTCACAACTGATCCTTGAGCAAGCAACTTCCTCTCTGAAAAAGATTTATAAATTAACTCTTTCACCTTATCATTAAAGGGCAAAAGGCTGCTAGGCTTTAACACCTCACTTTAAGTCATTAATTTTGAATGCCTAGATTGCTTTCAAAAAAAGTAAGCTTCTAATCCAGACATTTCAAAATGTTCCTCATTTAACATGCCCACATTTTCTGAGAAGTGTATGAATAGCTTTATAGCTGTAAAAAAAAAAAAAATCAAGCAGATTTCTGACCTTAAATTTGCAACCACGACTCAGTGCAATTCTAAACAGGCATAAGGGGTTTAACGTAGTCAGGGGACAAGTGGACAAACTGCATTGTTTCTTAACAAACCACTAAGAACTCTGTGCGCCCGTATGCTTATTTCTTATGCTGAAGGAGGGAGTGGTACAAACTCCAGTCTATCCAAAGGGACCGCTCTCTAACGTGACCTTTCAGCTTGTGTTCTCCTACATGCTAACTTGTCAGCTGTGTGTCACTGAACCTCTGCAAGGTCTCGTAACATTATACCTGAATCGGAGGGCAGTACTGTGAAGGGAACATTTTTAGTTTCAATCTTTACTGGATGCTCCAGTAAAGCCTTCCTTTTAAGCGGCACTTGTCCCACCGGCACTTTAGCTGCGTGGATCATCTCTGGCGGCAGAGGGCTTTGGATCTGTATGCGGGTCCCAGGCGGTAAGGGCTGCAACACAACTGGGTTCTGCAGCAATCCGGGGGAGACCCCAAAGCCCCCGCGCTGCTGCACCGTGCGGTCATCAGTGCTGGCCTGAGCTCCAGCCGGGCCATAGTCCTTTTCCCTCTTCACCCTGCAAGCCTCGAAGGCCGTGTTAGGCGGCTCCCCTTTGACATCACCGCCTCTCCGGGGCTCCTTCCTATTCCACCTCTTCTTCAGCGCCTTCACCTCCTCCTGGCTTGCTCCGCTGACCCTTTCATCGTCCCTTTCCCTCTTGATGGCGCCGCGGGCCCCCCCTTTACCCCTCCGCGGAGATGGGGAGCTCCTGGTCTCGCCCACCGACCCCCCGCCGTCCGTGTGGCTGCCCAGGGAGTTTCCCCCCTCCGGCTCGGGCTCCTCGACTTTGACTTGCAGCACGCTGAAGGGGCCCAAGAGCTCCCACCGCGGGGGGGAGGGCGAC